CACTCTGTCCTGAGTGCAAGCCAGGCATGAGAGTGAGCCTCAGGGTCACTGGCAGCAGGAGGAGGATGTCCCTGCCCTCCCCGGCCCTCAGACAAGCCCCGCACTGCGGCACAGGCAGAACTTACGTGATCCTCCGGCTCTGTGCACTGCTGAAACCTGCGAAGGAGGCGCTCCGGCCCATGACCCCCACAGCCCCTGTGTCCCCAGGGGACAGGAACCGCACCCTCACCGACATGGCGTGACCTGCAAGGAGAGGGCAGGAGAGTCAGCCTCACACGGCCACCTAGTGAGTGCTGATCAGGGCCGGCCGCACCCACCATCACCTCTCAGGCCTTGCAACAGCCCCAGAGAGCGGAGGCGGCTGGTACTGTCCCCAGCTCACGGATGAGCAAACTGAGGCTCTGTGGAGTTAGGGGACCTGCCTGGGGCAAGAAGCAGGAGCAAGATTCGAACCCAGCTCTCCATACTCTGCAGTCAGTTTCTTAGTACCCAAGCAATGCTGTCTCCATGAGCCCAGGGGAAACAGAACCTTCTGGACACAGCTGCCTCTCCTCCCCTCCCCCCAGCTACTCCACAAACCCTCGCTGAGCACCTCCTCTGTACCAAACACTGCAGGAGACACACAGTGAGTAAGATGGGCGACATGCCTGCCTCAAGGGCTCTTGGTCCAGAAGGGGGGCCCACAAACCGCTGGACAATTATGACATGGAGTCTGTAGTGAAGTGATGGGAGGCCAGGGGTACTGACCCAGCCATGGAGGAGGCGCAAGAGCTGAGAAGGAAAGACTGAGGAGGGCGTAGGTGAAGGGGAGGGAAGGGTGTGTGAGGCAGGGGAACAGAGTGGGCAAAGGCCGGGAGGCACAGAAGACCTGGTGTAATCCAGAAACAGAGGAAGTTCAGTGTGATGGAGCCCAGCTCCAGATGAGGTTGGAGAGGCCGGCAGAGCAGGTCCTGAGGGCCCTGGTAGACCCAGGGAGGGGTTTGGCCTTGCAGTTGGGCAAGGGTAGCGGGGAGCCATGGGAGGGTTTTGAGCAGGGGGTGACAAAGCCCGATTCACACGAGGCACTGCTGGCATCAAAGGCTGCTCTTACCCTTGATTGGTCACCCCGTCTCTGACCCAGGCTGCAATGAGGCTGCCCAGAAAGCTGGCCGTCTTCTTTTTCCAAACCATCTCTAGACTGGAAAAATGCCACCACATCCCTCTGGCACATAGCATCTTCTAACACAGGCAATTGGAAAGTTCTCCTTCATATCTAACCTAAATCTCTGCTGCTACAATTCCATACCTTGCTCCCCAGCCAGGATGGTGCCAATCCAAGGCTTTCAGTGACCCCACTGCCCAGAGGAAACCTACAGGAAAGCTCCATTCCACCAAGGCCCTCATGTTTCTCCATGGTGAGACCACTGCGTCTCAACATCCCCCTCACCCAGCTGAGTCCAGCCCCCACCCTTTGCTCACGTTGGGGCCTCTGCCTGGGTAACATTCTCTATGCAGCCACATCTGCCCAGGGTCCAGTCTTGCATTTGTTTTTAGTCAGCCCTGCCAGGGCTCCAGTGCCTTCACTCTGCAGCCCCTGTCAGATCTGTGCAGCAGATCTCAAGCCTTCTCCTCCTATATTTCCCCCACCCCACAGCCCCACATACACAGGGAAGCAGTGGAAACAAAGAAACCAGACCTGGGCTCAAATCCCAGCTGTGCCACTTGCTGGCTCTGGGCCTCGGTGATCACAACTATAAAATGGGAATTCAGAAAAGGACCCCCCGCAGAGGCTGTCAGAAGGGCCAAGGAGGGGCCGGCCCGGTGGCGCACTGCTACAGTGCACCGCTTGGGAGCGCGACAGCGCTCCCGC